TAGCTAGACCAACCTGACTCATCCTGCACGGCCTCTAACAGTTTAGACCAATTTCCGGGCTAAATATCCTTTGTGGGACCAGGCCCTGATTTCCGACATGCTGGAAATTAGTGATGACCGATAATGTGTGTAATTACGTTGACGATACTGATCCCGTATTAAAACGTACTCGTACTGAGATGTAGATGGCAGTTCAGGATAAAGCTTGAAGAGAGCTGTCCACGTATCGTAGCAGTTGCTGGGTAAGTAGCGAAAGATGTTTTTTTTAAATTTCAACCTTTTTATTAGATAGGCCTATTTTATCTCCGACAAGAAAGTTTTTTTTGCCTTTGTTAGCTTGTTAATTTTAATTTCTTAAAAGAGACAAACTCAGAAAGGTATGGACGGAGAATAATACGGTTTTTCAGGACAGGGCAGAAATGGGCTCTATTAGGTTTTAAATTGAAATTAATCAAGAATGTGAATTGAACTCTCTGAGTGCCTTTCTAGTTTCCGCGGCGAATGTTTTAACAGATCACACTATTATCTTGGTGGGTATTAGTTGGTATTTTTATAATTTTCGAGAATTTATAAATATAAAAGCTATCGAAAAACACGTGTTTTGAGAATGAACAAAATGTTGGCTTTTGAATGTATCATTTTCTATTCTCGGAACAAGAAGTAACACGATTTCAAAGGTCTTGCAGAATTGAGTTATATCGACCACGTAATGCTTAATGTTGCAAAAGATAAGATCAGTTTTGTTGTAGACGTCTACAAAACCCATGCGTCTCATGCATTATTCTTAAAGTATTAATTATGAAACCACTTTCCATGGAATAATTCCTAATTAAGCGGACATTTAACTCATTCCCAAAGAATGTGCTTAATAACATGTTTTCGTTCCCTTTGATCCATGTTTTATTATTAACCATTGTAACAATGGAGAGATTAATCTTCCTTGATGCCTTTCTGTAATATAATAGTATTTCCTCTTATTAATTCCAGGAGAACAAACCCCGCTAGAAGAGTTTCAATATCCTACTTGAAGAAGAAAGAAGTCAGACAAACAGATAATTTAATAAATGGCAACAGGAATAATACCAGCTCCTGGGCGTACGTATGTGGAAACACTTAAATTTGCATACAACGCGTTAGCTTTATAAAGAAATTTGACCATTTAAAATGACTACTTTTTTCTCGGGATCTCAAATTTCATCCGTGTCATAGAAGATTATAACATTACGTTAATATATAATGAGCAAGAGGACTTAAAGAAAGCGAATTAAGTAAAGGAATTGATTTTACAAAGATATTCTAAAAATACGTGTTGATAATGGCCAGAGAGAAATATTCGTGCTGAAAGTAACACTTGCCTTAAAACCCCGACTTGAACATGGGGTTAATTTTAACAACTGTACGTACATGAACCTGTTTATTGGTCAACGTGCTTACCCATCCTTGCGGTTAGTATCCAAATCTCAGATAAATATCTATTCATTTTTGACTGGCACGTGATCATTTGTATACAAATTGCTTACATCTGTCAACCATGCGCTTCGACAAACATATTGTTAAGTTTACCAATAGTGATAACACAAGCCCACCTTGCTGTAATATACATTTTACTTTTAATTACAATCAATATCAGTATCGGTGTCCAAACGTTCAATCGCTAATACATGTAGACTTCCATATTCATATTTATATTATCTTCTTTTTTTCACAGCACCATTGGCCGATACAACAGGCACAGGCTTGTGGCAGCCGTGTGTGGGGCCAGCCACCAACTCAACCACCTCTGTCACTTTCCCCAACACGTGTGCTGATGGGACACTTTGCGTGAGGAATTTTTTATTTTTTTTCTTCTCTACGTACCAAGTGTGTCTTTGCCCACAGACGACGTACCCGGATTTTGCGACGAGAACATGTTTACCAAGTAAGTTTTGGTGAAACGTGGTTTAAGGGCAATTGGGCAACCCCCCCACCCCACCCCCAAGGATAAGGCATATTAAATGAATTTCTCGATAGCTATAGAAAAATTAAACGGAGATTAACCAGGCAGAGTTTTATCTAATGAAAACACATAGCTAATGAAAGTGTTCGAAAATTTAGGAAAGGAGGGATAAATTCTTGTAACATGTACATGACACGCCGCTAGGAAAAGGTGTGAACGCTAGCAATGTATTTTGAATATTGGTTTTGTTTCAGTTCAGGGGGCACCGTGCAATGCCAGCACAGACTGTAATTTCCTCACCTACGACTGCATTGGCCTCTCAAGCTGGAGCATACCCAACGATGTGAAGGAATTTCTCACGGTAAGCCCCCCCCTCTCCCCTCACCCCATTTTCTCTCCCCCCCTCTCTCACTCTCAGCATCAATTGTAATCTGCCTTGAGGCAATAATTAGAAAGCGCAGAAAATGAAGTCAACGCAACCTCAGCATTGCACTGAATACTGTGCTACACCACATACATTACATGAGAAGATCGGTATACCCTCTACCAGGGTGACAGATTGATTTTCCAAAGATATTCACAGATATGTCTCTAGATAAATAGACGGTCATTTTGGTCTGCTGACAAAAGACCAAAATGACCGTCTATTTAACTAGAGACATATCTGTGAATATCTGTAGAAAATCGATGTCGCCCTGGTAGAGGGTAGAAGATCGGTATGTGTTGTATGCTATACTTGTACCGTACGTGCATCTGCAAATCTAAATTAGAATATAGAAAACTATTCCAAGAAACGTGATAAAGGGTCCATTGACTGTTGAAAGGAACGCCCTGGATTCTGCGTGCCGTCTAGGGAAAAGGAGGAGGTGTATAAAAAAAAGCACAGCATGATTTGACACGGTGTTAAGAAAGTTAAGGTCTGTGTAACTGTAACAGAGTGTACATTACACAGTGCCGTACATTACATTCACACATGAGAGGGTTAGCGTGACGTCATTATCACTACATCACAGCGGACTCACTTATCTTACAGTGGGGTTCCACAAACGGTGAATGTCTGCAAGAAGTATAGAGTTAACTGATGTAATACTCTGGCCATGCCATTACATGATCTTCCTAAAACCATTTCTATATTTGATAAATGCCTTTGATGCTTTACAGCCAATGGTATTCTACATATGCAGCCAGATCGTGGAGTATCGTGTACTAGTACCTAATTACCTGTGCCTTGCGAACTCGTGTGTGTTCGCAGGAGTGGCATTCGGGATAGGAGAGGGCATTTCTGGTCTAGGAAGGAAAAAACGCAGCCTGAGCGGTAAGACCATCAAAACGGCATAATCGCAAGACTCATTTATGTAATACAGCAAAGTACTGGAGAGTGCAACCAAGCGAAGTTATTTTAATGTGAACTTTAATTGCCATTTCCTTCGCAATTCAACAGAACGCTGGGAACCTTTCAAAGATTTTTATCTTTTATCTGAAATTTCCCCCATGCGATTGCTAAGTGCTAAGTGCCTTGGATCTGGTCATCCAGTTTGTTAGTCAATAAGTTCCGAAATCTCACTGATCACGATATTTGTAACCATACATTTACATTTACGAACATACATGTATATTTGTGTTTTTTCTTTGCATAAATCAAACAGATCTCAACGAAGAGGAGTTAGCAGCGAGTAAATCAAACGCAACAGAAGTGTGGTTGAAAGCCATGGGGACCTATTTCGAACAGTTTGGTCAGAATGGGATACTCGACGAGAATAATGATCCTTCGTCCACGGAATCCAAAGCAACAGGCCAGTGGGAGGTGGATGGAACAGCCGTTGTGGAGGCAGAGATGAAAGACAGAATAGCAGAAGCAAAAGAAGAAAACGGGAAGAACAGCTCGGAAAAATCTCATCAAATTTCGACAAGATCAATTACGAGTTCCTTTACTGGCGCGTGTGTCGTGCCGAACCTTCTCAACACGTTAACGGAGTTAATATCGGGTCAAAGTGCGGAGAAGTTCCTCTTGAATTGCCGGGAGGACGACCTTGTGGCCAACGCTCAAACCAAGGAGTTATAACTCCTTGCTCAAACTAACAATTAACGTTAACTATACGCGTAATAGTAATACTGTGTAGTACTACTCAAATTGCTTAATGATCAGCAGTTTCTTTTACTTTTATATGTGCTAGTAGCATTGTACTTATTGTTATTAATTTGCACAAGTTGTTTCTTTAAATCATTTGTATACAGATGTGTATGTAAGTGTATGTGCGCGTAGTGCATCTGCGTGTGCAGTTATGTACATGTACGTGTGTGTGTGTGTGTGTCTGTTTGCGATCGCGTGCGTGTGTGAAAGAGAAATAAAGAGAGAGGTTGAGGAAAGGTATTTGATCTAAAACACCAATATCAGGTACGTTACAGTGCGTAAACGTATAAGTTGTAGCTATGGAAATAGTTTTTCCTTTACAGATAAGAACATGGGTTAAGCTTAAAGTCACTACGTCACGCAAGCAACTACCGCGTGGGAAGGTGGTGGGCATTAATTTCATGGCCTATTAAGGTACACATTAACGGGCTGAGATAGCGGTAAATGTCTACGATTAGGAGAACCCAGCAGGATCTTTATATTATGTAGGTAATACATGTAGGTAGAAAGCAGTGGCACATCTCGTAGAAATGAAAAGGATTGTAGCTGGAAAAGCAAGATAACTACTGTTACCCGTGCCGTGCACTGATATGAAACATAAGGGTTAAAAATCCCTGTCAAACGTGTTATAGATATTTCTGTAAGATGTCTAGTGACCGAGGAAAAATTAGATATGTTGTGTCTTTTTTATCTTTGTGTTAAAACAAGCGTAGAGACAGGACGTAAATGTTTTAGAGTTCGAAAAGGGATTAAGGGAGATGAAGCGAAATATTATTGTATTTATTATTTTCATAAAACCATTGGTCCATGTGAGTTAAAAATTTAGTGAAGTAATTAATAAAGGTCAAGATTTAAATTTTTGATCAAACATCGTCAAGGTTAAATGTGCGTAAAAATAAACACCAATATCACAGAAAATAAGTTGTTTCGTCCAGTCTACAAATAGCAGGAGGAAAATTATAAGGATTGTGACTTTTCACTAGAAGTGCGATATTGCACTTTGCTTAAGAGAACAATGAAAAGAACAAAAAGAATCTTTGCTAAAATAATCTTATAATCTTTGCTAAAATACATATGCCAGACTAGTGTAAAAAACTTCACAATTAACTCTTGAATACACAATTACAGAATTGGCCAGAGAAATACCTGTGGATATACATGCATATCTAGTGAAAGATCAACCTGTGGCCCCAGAATTATCTATTCTTTTTGTATATAATCTATTGCTAAATATCAGCATGCAATCTTCATGAGAATCGTTAACCCGAAACATTATTTCCCTATAAGATATGTTATTATCTAAATATATGCATTTTGCAAAAAGTTACGATAATTTAGTTAAGATAATTTAGCGTGTAAAAGTTGAAATCTCAAAGAGTAAAATTATAGGTTTCACGTGGGCAAGTTTAAGTTTTACACAAATTCAACCTTGCTGTCGAAGAAAATGATTATAAAAGAAACGTGGAAGTGCGGGGTTTGTCGATCCAGTCATTATCATTATCATCATCATCATCATCAGATCTGCAACAGCACCTGTGGGTGAGGGGGGGGGGGGGAGGGGAGGAGGAGGAGGGGAGTGCTCTTCTTCCATAATCTTGTGTGGTCGAATTTGTCTGATTCATTGTGCC